CAAAGCGGCAAAATGAGGACTGTCAGTCAGTCAACAAGCATTTTTTTAAGCAGCTAGTGCCAGATACTGCTCTAACCATTGGACTACATTTGCAGTCAGAGAATCTGGCTTCAAATCCTGTCTCTGCCACCTTCAACCTGTGTAACCTTAGGTGACACACGGCACCTCTGGGCCCTCAGTTTACTCATCTGTAAAAAGAATGGGGTTGAACTATTTCCCTTCCAAACAACCAATCAACATACATTTATTAAGTCCTTGCTGTGTGCCTGGCCAGTACCTGTGGTGCTAATTCCAGACCCTTCATTTCCTGATGACTCAAAGCCTTGAGTTCAAATTTTCAATTGTTTGTATTCCATGGGCTGGATGTTGTATCCATGAAAAGAAGAAACATCTTGTTTTCTTGGCTTTAGGTAGGGGAAAGAGAGAGAGAGGAGGGAGACAGATGGAAGGGAGGGAGAGGTGGGGTAGGCTAGCTGTTCTGCCTTCATATTGTACCTCAAACACTTACTAGCTGTGTGATCCCTCTCTGTGCCTCAGTTTTCCTATATACAAAATTAGAGGATTGGACTGATAACTTCTAGGGTCCTGTCTTTCTCTAAGTCTATGATCCTATGACCCAATAATCCAATGATCTCTTTGTTAATACTCCCATCTGGAAACCGATAAGTCACCTAGAAATGGAGTAGAAGAGGGGAAAAATGGAGTTAAAAAAATAAACTTTTCCAGAGTTAGCCTCAAATATGGACTAGTATTATGAGCCAACTGCAAAAGTGACATGGGAATTCCCTGAGTACACTTGCCCACAAGGGTCTTCTCAGTGGTTAGGAAAGAATAGTAACATAAAAAATATTTAAATCCTGAATTCTACCTTATATTAACCATATTGCGGGGTCCTCACAGCCCAGAGTAGTGGAAAGAGCTCTAGGAGTCTGAGAACTTGGGTTCAAGTTATGGTTCCAATAATTCACAACTGTAACCCCACACAAGTTGCTTTCCCTCTCTGAGCCTCAGTTTCCTTCTATGTAAAATAAGAATAATAACATATGCATGGCCTACCTTGGAAGGGCAGAGAGAGGATCAAATGAGCAAATGTAAAGTGCTTTACAATTGTAAAACTCTCTATAAATGTCAACTATTAATTTTTACAGAGGTGCCACCAGCCAGTAGTTAATCACAACACTGAGCTGATGGGTAAACCCCAAGTACAGAGAAGAGTTGATGCATAAAACTCCATTATGTAGGATGATCCTAAAGTTATAGGCCAATAAAAATCACTACTGTGTTGATTCTGCACCCAACACAGCTGAAATAAAAAACAAAACTGAAAATTCCAATTGATGAGAAATTGCCTGTCTGCTTTTTGGTCCCAATTTGGGATTTCCTCCAGCTGGTCTGTCTCTCCAGCAACTGGCATGGCACTTCTGGTCCTAGAAAGCTGCTTGGGGCACTGAGAAGTTAAATTATAGTGCAGTGTAGTAGAAAGGTCACCAGGCTTGGTATACCAGGACCTGAGTTGGAATCCCAGCTCTGCTATTTATTACCTGTGTGACCTTGGACAAGTCACTTGACTCCTGTGGACCTTAGTTGCCTCATCTGTAAAATGAAGGGCTTGGGCTAGATGACTTCTAAGGTCCTTCCAAGTCTCCATCTATGGACTTATGAGCCCACAGCTCAGAGACAAAACTTTAACCTGGACCCTCCCCCACTGCCTCCTGTGATCATCTCCATTGTCTGCTGATACGGAAATACATTTATGAGAAGGGAGAATAAAGCAATGTTACCAGTTTCATGTTGTCTTTTGGGGCAAAATAATAACTGGCATTTTATTATACTTCAAATTTGGCAAAGTAAAAACGCTTTTATTTAAAATGTATACATTTAAAATTTGAAAAAAAATGCCTTACCAATATTCTCACCCTTCATCTTGCACCCACTACCATGTAAGCTAAGAACTACTGGCATCCCCATTTGACAGGTGAGGAAACTGAAGCTTAAGGAACAGAGGGGTCTTATTCATTGGCACACAGCTGGTGAGCATCCAAGGCAGGATGTGAACTCAGGCCTTCCTAATTCCAAATCCTAAGAACTCTCCACTGAGCCACCCAGCCCTTCCAGGAGTATTTGTGGCCAATGGAAGCTGTTTGTTCCTTTCCCATTATTCCTACTTCCATTTCCAGAGAAAAACATAACCAATGCAGGTATAAGCCTACTCATCCAAAAGTGGTATAAGATGTTTAGATTTTCCCACAGGACAATAATCATAGCAGATATTTATGTAATCCTTTAAGCAACTGTTGCTGGTTTTTTTTTTTGTTTTTGCTTTTTTTCCCTTTTTTTCTCTGCAAACATCAAAGACAATAAATGTTGTTGGTTGATTAATTTATTTACTTCAGTAAATTCTAAGACCCTTGAGGGTAGGGATTGCTTGAGTTTCTTCCTTGTATCGGCAGCCTATAACACAGCACGTACTAAGGGCTTAATAAACGCTTTTTGTTTAACTGATCACAAAGCACTTCACATCAATTACCTTATTTGAGCCTCACAACAACCTGTGATGTGAATGCTATTGTTCATTCCCCCTCTTTTTTTAATGGATGATGAAACCAAGGCTCAGGGAAGTTGGTAACATTAATAGTTAGAGTTTATATAGTCTTTCAAGATTTTACAAAAGGTTTTGCACGTATCTCACAAGATCTTGTTCCGCAGAAAAAAAGCCAAGGTTGAGAGGCTAAATAACTCACCGAGGGTCACAGAGCTAATAAGGCAGTGTTGGAGACCAGGTCTTTCTGCTTCCAAGTCCAGTATACAGACTCTACCTCCCAGCCTCCTTGCTGGGTCCCTGGTTTGCACCACTGCGCATTCCCTGATTGATGCTGGGCACCATCATAATAACCAACAACAACAATAACGAAATCAATAAGAGTAATTGGCAAAGACAGGAATCAGTTTGACAAAGTCGTTTTAGAATTTACAAAATGCTTGATCCACTTGATCTCATTCACTCTCCTTGTAAGTCCTCCAGCAGTTCAGACAAGCTGGCAACACCCCCTCCCCCAGGCCTTACAAACCCTCCCGAAGAGGGCAGATGATAAATGCCTTGCTTAAGCTCTAAAAACCCATTCAGAAAGCCCTGCCAGGTCTCCAATTGGGATCCATCTGAAAATATGCTTACTCCAGTCATACCCTTTTTCATACGGAATCTATTTTTGGAGACTCGATGCTTGTTTCCCTGGAAGAAAATATTTAAATGTGAAAATAATGCCAGGAGCAAATCCACAATAACACCCAGCTTACAAGAGATGGAGGAAAATATGCAATGTGGAACCCAACTGCACACAGGCATTTTTAGAAAAAAAGCTACTATTTGGCCTTGCGGTGATTAGCTAGTCATTGTAAATGCCTTGCTTTTTGAAGTTGACAGGTTCCTTACATTCACATAAATATTATATTCCCACTCTTAAAATTATTATGGAAGATTATAAATGCATCCATTAGTTTCATGTGTAATTACATCCTCATGTTTAAATAAGAAAATACAGAGAGGGAGAGTGGGGGGGAGAGAGAGAGAGAAGAAGGAGGAGGAGGAGGAGGAAGGGGGAAAGGAGAGAGGGGGGAGGGGAGAGAGAGAGAAAGAGACAGAGAGACAGAGAGAGACAGAGAGAGAAACATATGACTGAGAGCAAACAAAGCCTGGGGATGGAATTAAGTGAATTAGATACAGATTTCTTCTCTTGAGAGCATAATATGTCTGTAAAACTGTTCCTCTAACATGTCCACATGATGTCATGTTGTGGGGAAATTTCAAGATAAAGCCCTCTGGCCCAGTTGTTCCTGGGTCACACCAATTGAAGGCCACCCCATGGCTTATCTCTAAGAACCACCTCAATGCTATGACAATATAGGCAGGAAAAAAAAGTACATTACCCCAGATTTTTAGCAAAAGTTTTTCAAAAGCACAACATGGTTTGAAAATGTTATTACCACATTCATAGAAACAGAGATTTAAATCTGGAAGGGGCCTTAAGATTCATCTTGTCCAAACTTCTCATTTTACAAAAGAGAAAACTGAGGCCCATGGAGGTGAAACCACTTGATGAAGGTCACTTAGGGAGTAATTGGCAGAGTCAGGAAGGGGGGGGGGGGCAGGCTATATTTGGAATCGGATGACCTGAGTTTGAATCCCAGCTCTTCTCTTTAATATTAAAATTTAGGGCAATCCCTTCACCTCTCTTGGCTTCAGTTTCTGTTTCTGTCAAATGAAGATGACCTCTGGCCTCCAGTCCAGCTGTCCATCTTGGATTCTGTGAATTCGGGTGCTATGTCCTCCAATAGCAGAACCAAACACAACCTAAAGCATGAACCCTCACTATCTACAAAAGCCTTTACTTGAATACTCCCAGGAGCAAATTATTCACTACCCCCATAAAGCAATGCTGGTTTGGGGCACCTGTAACTGTTAGGAAATTAATGCTCAAATTGAACTAACATCTGCATTCTTTGTGATTTCCTGCCATTGGTAGAATGCAACATGTTAAAATATACATTAATTATTGGAAAAGACTCCAAAATCAGCCATGCTGAAAGGCATGCAAGTTTATGAAATAAAGCAAGCAGATGTTTCTATGTCAGAGAAATGAAGGCTTATTTCTGTGGGGGGGAAGAAATGAAATGAATATGAGGCCTTCTTTCCATATGGTTCTGACTGACTTTTCCTAAATTTCTGGCTGGAGTTAGGGTTGCCCCTACCTACCATTACCATCAGCCCAGGGGAAAAGGCACTTGTAAATAGTGGTTCAGAAGGAACCTCGATGTTATTCTCTTCTGGTGGTAGTAGCATGAGAGACTATAGGGGTTCAAAAAGAATGTGAAACCCTAGTCAGCTAGGTGGAGCAGTGCATTTGAAGTCAGGAAGACCTGAGTTCAAATTCTGCCTCAGACACCTTAGAAGCTGGGTGACCCTGGGCAAGTTAGGCAAACCTTTGCCTCAGTTTCTTCAACTATCAAAGGAGTCTTAATGGCACCTACCTCACAGGTCATTGTGAGGATCAAATAAGACAACATGTAAAAAATATAGGTAAAAGCTAGTTATTAAATTCAACATTCTTTGTATCAGCACTTCTTATGCTGACTTGTCTAATGGCTCAGCAAGGCTCTAGAGGCCAAAAGGTCTATAGTACTTGATAGTGAATCTGAAGACTTTGGGTTGAATCTAGGCTCTGATGTTTATAATTTGTGACCTTGGGCAGTTAATTTCTCTTGGCCTCCATTTCCTCATTTCTAAAATGTGGGGCCTATGCTTGTTGACCTCAAGGCCCCATGGAACTCTCCATGTATGATCTTGTCATCTCTCAGGGCTTCATTTTCCTAATCTGTAAAGTTATAAGACTGGACTCAATGAACCCTTATAAGCCAACCATAATCTAAAATTAGGAAACTTAGCGGCTGTGTACTTCCAAGAGTATAGAAAACAGAAACAACCACTTTGCCTGGTAGAAACCAGTACTTCTGATGCTGAAACTGGTCTAACTACCTAGTCTATGTAAGGTGACCTGACTAAGGTTGTTTTACAACCATATCATTGGTACTTCATAACCAAACTATGCCATGAAACAGTGAAAATTCACTGTAGCACTCTCTAGCCAAACATCCATTCCTGATATTGTTGCTGCGGGATGTTGGCCCCTGTGATATTGTTTCACCTAACATGGCATTTTTGTAGAGCCAAGAAATGTCATTGGGCAGGATGGGCCCATGCTTATAAAAGAAAGTGCTCCCACTGAACTAAATCCAAGTATCATAATATTTCTGGAGAGTCAATAAACCATTGTGAATGAATCTCTAGGCCTAGAAGCAAGAGTTTTCTTTTCTGGGGTGATCTGTGCAGCTATGAATGGGCAGGGATTTTTCCTAGCATCCTGCCCACAATGAGGTAATTTTTATGACATTTTTTTCCTTCTTTCATTTGTTTTGCATTCACTGAATGTAACCTTTTATGTCACAAAGATATAGGTAGACATGGAAAAGGAGACTTAGTCTATTGATAGAAACAAAGTCCAAGGCTCAGTATTTTCAGGCGACCTTTTTGATATTTCATCTTTCTATGCACTATTTTCCAAGGACACGTAACCAAAACCCCTGACAACATCTCTACATATTGTTCACGTGTATCCAGAGCTCTTGAATCTCTGAACTGGTGCTTCCTGATTCCATCAGATGAAAGTTAGAATGACAGCAATCAGCCAAAGAGCCTTCATTTAGTAGTCATTTAAAAAAATCTCTTGGTGTTTCTTCAAAATCTCTTCTTTTTCTTTTAATCTTTAAACAAAGTTCTGTGCTAAGATGGGAAAAAACAGATCAAGTCAAAATGACATATTCAGATGCTATAAAAAGACTCAGAAATTAAAAGACGTAACTTTACAGAAGTTTACTTTCCAGTAGACTATAAACTCCTTGTGGTCAGGGATTCTGTTGTTTCAGTCTATTTCCCCAGCGCCTGGCACACATTAAGCACTTAATAAATGCTCGGTGGATTGCTGAAATAACTTCCTGTTGGGAAAACTTCATCTTTGAACTCAGCAACACTCAGCCGTCCCTGGGAAGTCTTCTAAAGGAATAGGTGCTGCTTCTGTGGTCTTACTGTCTCTGGTAGTGGGTGAAAGCCTACTTTCCCGAGGCTGATTTGGAAATCTCTCCTCTCCTTTCAGACTACGAGGCTGCTTCCTCAGGGAAGCCTGCACATGTAGCACCAGCACAATTAAGCGGTAGAGCTGCAGCACCACAACGAGGAAGTTCTTGGCAGCAAAGAACACCAGCATCTGGTTGATCACTCCAAAATAGGTCATTAGGACGAGGCGGACAATGAGGAAAGGCCCATCCTGAATGAAGAGGCTGATTCCAATGTTCCACAGATCAGCACTATACTGGCAGAGGAACCAACTGGCGAATCCTTCAGCTGCCATGGATGAGGGGCAGACGAAATGCTGGACTGTAAACACAAGACAGGTCCGTTAGCATACCTTCTAAGGGCACAGACAATGGCAGAACATAAGCCACTGCTGGACAAAGACTTATTTCAGATTTGCCTTTCTATCTTTGAAGACAAACCCTCAGTCAGATGTGTTTCATTATCCTCTCCTGCAGAGGCTCCTGATGCTGTTACTGTATCTTTAAAGACAAACTGAATTTTGTGAAAAGGGCGTTTCAGGCTGGTGGTTTGAGGTAACAACTGGCTTACTATGAGGTGTTTTTGTCTATGGAGGCAGGTACAATTATGATGTTTGAGACTATGAGGAGTTTGTGGAAAAGGTAGAAAGGTGTTGAATGGATTGGTATCTGCTAAGGTGTTCTACACCTTGTGCGTATTCCACACGTGTGAGCCTAGCTCTGGGAAATCATGTTACCAATGGGTCCTTTGCATTTTTGGCAGTTGGGATGCCTGCGATCTAACTCCTGACCTAGCATATAAGAGGAGATTACTATGGACCAATAGTTCCACACAACTAGATAATTCACACTAAAAACAATACTCATCTTAACCTTTAATTCAAATTCCAAACTACTAAAGTACTTAGAAAGCATTTTTCTAGTGTACGTCTACTTCACAGCATTACTAGAGTAAGTCAGGTATTAATACCTGAGTGCTTATTTTATGTAGAACACCTTAAAAGGTGCAAAAAAACCAGAAGACATCATTCTGACCCTTCTCCCAAGGATTTTTCAGTATAACTCTGCCCAGGACAAATATACAAATACAAAGATACAAAGAAAAAATGAAACATCCCCAGCCCAAGAAGCCTGTAATCTACAGGAAATGAGCTTAGGGTGCATGTATAGGGAACCTCTGATGAAGACTTAGGGATAATTCATAGTTCATCAATACTAGAAACGAGAAGTGAGTCAATGATAAAATGGGTGATTGGAGACAAAAAAGGAAGACCAAGTGATCAGTGTAAAGGAGGCTGGAGACAGCGTGTCACCATAGAGGAGGTAAAAAGTGTTTGGAGCAGAATGCTTAATAGACACCTCACCTCCCCCAAAGCTTTATCTACTTGTATTTATTTAGGGAACAGTTTTAGTGTAGTGGTGAAGATAAAAGTTGTATTTCAAAGAGTCACAGAATAAATAGAAAAGAAATAGACACTATGGGTGGGAATCCCAGGCTTCTCATTGGAGACTTCTAAGCAGAAATTGAGTGACAGTTCCTGGCACACACTCTAGAAGGGAACATTTTCCAGATTGGGTCTAAATGGCTTTTGCGATCTTCTCATCTCATAGGACCATTGATATAGAATGGAAAAGGACCTTTGCGGCCATCTATTCAAACCCCCTCGTTTTACAGATATCAGAATTAAGGCCCAGAGAGGTTACAGGACTTATCCACGATCACCTAGGCAGCACGTGACAAAACTTGGATTTGAACTTGTCCCTCTTTCCACTGGAGCATGTCCATTCCAACTCTGAGACTCTAGGTTTTTTCGAGGCTGCAACTTTGTGTTCATTCAAGAAATCCAGCCAGAGGAGTATGGTGATACGTAATAACTTTGTACCAATTCAATGGATCACTCATTGTTATTATTATCCCCAAAAGTGCTTGGAAAGAAAGAAATCAGTAAATGCTAATTAACATGATGCCGGTGACCTAATATAAGTATAAAGGGCACAAGAAGAGAGAGAAGGACTCAGAGCCCGTAACTAACTACAGAATGTTAAGTCAAGAGATTCTGAGATGGTTTTATGGTTAAACAGTTTGTAAAGGGAAGAAATTAGGTTCAAACCCTTGACCAAGTCCAGGACCCTATTTTCATTATACTCTACCCAAGGCATGGAGGATACTCAGCATCATTCAGTTAAAATGCAGAAGGACTAGAAAAAAGAGCTACCTCTTCAGGCTTCAATAGAGAGGGGCTATGGTAGAGAGGAAAGAAGAGTGACCCTGGATTCTGGGGAGACTTAGTTTGAATTCTGCCTCTGACTCATACTAGGCATTTGACCAGAATCTAGTTCCTTCATCTTCTTGGGACTCAGTTTTGCCTTGTAAAATGGGCGTAGGTAATGCCTACACACCTATCTTCTGGGGGAGGGGAGGTAACTACAAAAGGGATGTGAGATAAAACTATTGATATGTTAGTTTTTCAAAGTTCTGCATTTTCTAAAAAGGTCTACACTCCAACAATGGCCTAAAAGATGAGATAGTCTTAAAAACCAACTGCTGGCAGTAAACATGTTTTTCTAATGTAAACCAAAAAAAAAAAAAACCAATCAAACTTTTTCATGATGAGCACAATGGTTGTTTCACTGTCTTGTCTTCATTTTTTTGTATTTCACAGTTTAAAGGAAAGGCTGGACATAATTACCATACAAAAGGAAATTTAATCAACAGCTGAAACTTTTTGTTTTAATTTCTCTAATTTAAATTGAATTCAGGGTCAAGGGTAGAAAATAATTCCTTTCCTAAGACTTGTGGCCCCCATTTGGGCATCTGAACAAAGTGAGTAACTCCTAATGAAGTCTGCAAAGCTTCTCCAGTGGCTTCAAGTAGCAACTAAAGAATGGGCCCTTTGCTGGGAGGACAATAGCGGCTGACCCAGAAGCCCCATTGCTCCTTCTGGTGCCAAGATGGGGAGTGAGGAAGGAACTCTGAAGCCCTCCCCAATTCCCCTACAAACAACCAGAAAGCTGCCTCAGGATTGATCTAGAAGCAGGGATGCAGCTTACCAGCCCAGCAGGAAAGGTCTGTCTCACTGGAGTAGGAAGGGAGGAAGGTCCTTGAGCAGCAGCTGTGGTGGTGGTAGCGGCAGCAGCCACAGTAGTGGCAGCAGCAGTAGCAAGCCTCACCTCTAGGGGCCTGCAGCAAGGCTCCAAGCCTGGGCCATTCCACTAGTGATGCCCCGCCCACCTGCAAACCAGCAGCCCCCTAGGCAAATGAGCAGTCTGTACAGCTCAGCAAGGTCCCACCCACCCTCAGCACAAGCCACTAGCAAGGCCTTGAGCCCATTGCTGACCATTAGTGAAGCCCCTCCCCAGGACTGGCCAACAGTGAGACCCTGCCCCTGGCGCCTACCAGCAGAGAGACCCTGTTTCCATAGCAACTCAGCAGCAGGGCCCCACCCCTTGGGTAGACTACCCACAAGAGCTCTCCTCCAGGGCTGGCCACCAGTCAGACTCTGTTACCGTAGCAATCCAGTAGCAGGGCACCACCTCTAGAGCAGACCAGCCCCTAAATCCCACACCCAGGGGAGAACAACAGGAGCCTCTCCCCCCAGTGCAAGCCAGAAGGGTAGCCTACCCTCCAGAGAAAGCAAGCAACTAAGCCCTGAAGCCCAGTGAAAACCAACAGTAAGACCCAGAGCCCCAGCACAAAAAGCTTGGGACAGTGCAGGACCAGAGCCCAACTCTCACATAAAAACACTAAGTCACAAAAAAAAAAAAAAGAGCTTGACTATAGAAAGTTATTATGATGATTAGGAGTATCAAGGCATAAACTTAGCAGAGGACAATTGTGTCAAAATGACTACATGTGAAACTTCAAAGAAAAATGCAATATGGTCTCAGGCTCAAAAAATACTCCAGGAAGAATTTAAAAAGGATTTTAAAAAGCAAATTAGAGAAGTAGAAGAAAAATTGGGAAAAGAACTGAGAGTAATGCAAGAGAATCATGAAAAAAAAAGAGTCAATAGCATGGAGAAAGATATACACAAATTTACTGAGGAAAATAACTTCCTAAAAATAGAATTGGCCAAATGGAAAAGGAAGTACAAAAGCTCATTGAAGAAAATAATTCCTTAAAAATTAGAATTGAACAAGTGGAAACTAATGATTCTATGAGACATCAAGATATGATAAAATAAAGTTTTTAAAAAGTTTTAAAAAAAGAAAAAAATATGAAATTTCTCATTGGAAAAAAACAACTGACCCAGAAAATAGATCCAGGAGAGATAATATAACAATTATTGGATGGCCTGAAAGCCATGATCACCAAAAAAAAAAAAAAATACTGGACGTCTTTCAAGAAATTATCAAAGAAAACTGCCCTGATATATTAAAACCAGAGGAAAAAATAGAAATTGAAGAAATCCACATAGCAAGCCTGAAAGAGATCCCCAAATGAAAACTCCCAGGAACATCATAACCAAATTTCAGAGCTCACAGATCAAAGAGAAAGTATTGCAAGAAGCCAAAAAGAAAATATTGTGGAGCTACAGTCAAGACTACACAGGTTTTGGCACCTTCCACATTCAAGAACCAGAGATCTTGGAATATGATATACTGGAAGGCAAAGGAGTTAGGATTACAACTAAGAATCACCTACCCAGCAAAATTGAATATAGTCTTTTGGGGGGAGGGTGGGATGGACCTTTAAGGAACTAGAGGAATTTCAAGCATTTCTAATTAAAAGACTAGAGCTGAATAAAATAAATCACCTCCAAATACAAGACTCAAAGGAAACATAAAAGGGTAAAAGAGAAACATGAAAGAGAAAACATAAGAAATTCGATAAGCTTAAACTGTTTATATTTCTATTTGGCAAGATAATATTTGTAACTCGACAACTTCATTACCATAACAGTAGTTATAAGGAGTATTTCCAGACAGAGGGTGTGAATATAAGGTGACTTTGATGGGATGATACCCCAAAAAAACAAAATAAAGGGGTGAGAAAGGAAATTGCACTGGAAGAAAAAGGAGGGGATTGAATGGGGTAAATCATCCCACATGAAAGAGGCACAAAAAGCTACTATAATAGAAGAGAAAGAGTGTGTGTTGGGGAGGGTGGGCAAAGTTTATACCTTACTCTCATCAAAATTAGCTCAAAAAAGAATAATATACACACTCAGTTTGATAAGGAAGTAAAAAGGGAGAGGGATAACAGAAAAGGAAAGGGAGAACTGAGAAAAGGGAGAGTACATTGGGAAAGGTGGTGATCAGAAGTAAAACACTTGTGAGGAGGGAAAAGTTCTGGTATAAGAGAAAGGGGATAAACAAGTG